ATGTTCTTTAATCTAAGGATCCTTTTTCAGTCTGATTATCCACAACCTCCCAATGTTCAGTGCTTTGTCAAGAAGCCATCATATGGCTGAGTGGCATAGCTTATGCTGAATTTCTTCATCTTGTTTGTTCAGGATAGTTAAACCTTTCCTGAGATCTTTATTTTCTTAACTTTTAGGAGTTTTCTCTGAACACCTGACATTCCCACTTATTTTTCAAGCATTTTTTTCATACCCATATCGCCTATTCATGGCCACCATTCTTCACCTTCCTGTCATGCAAATTAGCCTAACATTCCCACTGAAAAAACAGACTGAACCAAAATAGTTTTCTCTCGGGTCCTATGTTAAACAGACAATTACCCTTACTTGAATTAAGTTACCCTTAATTGAATTTTAATAATTTATTTCTGTCCTTGACAGATTGCTCCATTTCTACAACATACTGAAATACATGTACTTCACAAGCATGGCCATGAACAAAAGTTGGTTGATAGGTGTTTTCTTCTCTTTCCAAGAAAAAGGACAGACAAGAGAGGAGCATAATTTGCAATGCCTCTCTTCAGAAGGAAGTTTACGGCTCTAGTCTTGAGTTAAAGAGCCAGTTAAACAGCTGAATGACGTGGTCCAGAGCTCTGCCTGTTGTCTTGGCTGGGTGGGTGTGGGGGTATGTGTGTGTATGTGTGTACCTGTTACAAAAGAACAATGCCTGCTTTAAAAACTTTTGGTTCTGTCAATATTTCCTAAACTGGACACACAGGTAGTTTCAATAAGAAATAATAGCTGCCTTTAAAATATTCAGTTCCCTAGCTTTTGATAAACTACAACATCAGTTCAACAATTTTCCTCTGTTTTTCTGAAAATTATTATAGCAAAACTGAAAGTGAAAAATGAGTCTATGACAAATAAGGTCAGACTTGCTTCTAAATATAATTTGCTCTTAGCATGCTGGTATTACTGTTATGTCTATTATGACATTTCTATGAATAAATAGTTCATATTATAAGAAGATCTATTTCCATTCCAAGTGATACTTTTTCATTTTTTTCCCTAGAAACATTCAACCAGAAAGTGATTTACAAGTGTTAGCTAGTTTTTATGTTGCAGGGTCTTTTTTCTGTTATTCACATATTCATACATATATAAGCATGCATATATTCAAATATACTTTCCTACAGGTTTAAATCTGCCAATTTGCATTGTGAAATCATATAACTGCTGCAAACAGAGCAATCAATTATTTTTGCATCAAAAAAGACTCAGTATACAAACTTATAAGAACATTTCTTTACAGTGAAAAGATTGCTATTTTAAATATTAAGTTACAGTGACAAGGTCCCCTTTGCAATGTAGCTTTATATACTTATTCAGTCTTTCATAATCTCACCATTCTATGAAAATGCTATCAAAGAAATGAATGCAGTATGTTATTAGGTAACCCTGGAATCACTGTATGTAAGCTCAGAAGCAGATCAATGGAGAGATACAGAAATAAAAGAAAAAGGAAATCCTTATGTTCCTTCCACATACGAGACTCTGGGAAGCATATGCATGAATGAGTAAGAAAATCAAGCTGCAGTGATTAGACATCAATGCTATTTTAAGCAACTACTGCAGATGAACAGAATTTCTGTAAACCAACAAGACAAGCAATGACTTCAAGCACGCAGGTATAATTGCAGAGGAAAAACTGTGCCCTGTAGAATATTTAGCCTTTTGCCATCATGAAAGTCATTCTTCTGTTTTCCAGTTCTGGATGGTGAATGCCATATTCTTGTAGAGACTATATGGGATTGCAAAATTTCCAAACATTTGGGTTTTGTGTCTACCTGCTCTTATAGAGATATACATCCATTCCTCTAAAAATGTTTGGTGGAATTTTCTTTCATAGGAAAACATTGCATTTAACAGGATAAACATTACATATTTACACAGATGAATAAATATTTTACAGGGGAAATATTAAATAAGTTTTCCACTGAGATGGTCTGGAACAGTTGGAAGACATTTACATTTGTAACATCCTCTCTCTTAGTGAGTGGAAGGGATTGTAAGAGTGTCAATTTATTTTGCTGATAAAACCGTATTCTTTGACAGAACTCTATATGCTGTATTAAGAGCATAAGTACAGAGAAAAAAAGTGTCTCCAGAGAAACATATTTTAGCATATGAAGTTTTCTTTTGTGGGTTTTTTTTGGGGGGTTGGGGTTTTTTAGTTTTTTGGGGTTTTTTTAGTGGGATGTTTGTTGGGCTTTTTTTTCCCTCACAGAAATTGCTTAGCAACAGAAAGAGTAACTCTGATGATGAGGTTTTCTACACTGGCAACAGAAAATATAGTGGTGTCAGTGTCTGTTTCCATCATGAGTTTCCTAAGGGACCAGTATGAAATTAACATAGTAAGCAGTCACAGCCAGTGCATAGCAGGCTCCCATAAAATTCCCATTTCAATAAAAGCAACCTCATCTCTTGGAAATCTTGGGTTTCATAGGAGATATGAAACCAAAATGCATTGGGAATTTTGTTTTTGAAATACTTTTAATCAAAATATTGTTATTGTTGTTATTATCTCTCACAAGTGAAGACTAGGCCATCTTTCAATTAGCAAAGTATTCTATACCATCTCTCATTCTGGTCATTTTTATGATATAATTTAAAATTAAGAATTATATCAAGATTTTGACATAGAATTCAAATTTTAATTCCTTTTCTGTCCTCAGGCAAAAGTATATAATACAGTTAACACTGAGTTTGGCATTGGATTATTACAGCATCCTTTTAAAATGCAAGATATTAGAGCTCAGAAAGGGACCACAAAGCTTTTCTATGTAGCTATCATAGTGATATCTATTCTGATATATCATAATATTTAAATTTCAGTCTGGGTAACCAGATTCAGAATAACAAATTTCTCTGTTTCGACTGAGAATTTCAAGGCCATCTGTGAGGTGAAGTGTGGGTCTCCTGTTGACAGTACTGGAGACTACAGTGACTTCATTAGATGCAGTATCTGTAGAAAAACAGGAACATTTATAGATGGTATCTAAAGGAATGGCTCAATATGGAAAGATTTGAGTTGTGCAATGATCAAGGCCATCAGGATTAGCAGGATAATAGGGTGCAAAGAGAAATGCAGTTTGCTGTGGTTTTTTAATTGAAAAATTCTTTCAAGAAACTCAAAGTATAGCAGTCAGTCATTCTTGAATCAACATTTACAATCAACAGCCTAATCTAAGGCAAGGGAGAAAACCAGAAAAGAAGATTGTCCAAAATGTGGGTATCATAGTAATTGAAGGACATGACCAATGGTTTTGATTTTCTGAACATCATGCTTCCAACTGAAATATGTTCCTTGATCCTGGCTAGCAGAACTTGCACTAACAATAGTCAAACATTGATGGCATCTCTGCCATTGTAATCCAGCTTTATAAATTGAGGGGAAATGTTGTTAAAGTTTATGACTTGGCAGTTTCTAATTCACGGTTGAATATTCTGCTTAAAAAAATCTGGGGAATAAAAAAGCTAAACTTGGAAGCTTGTGAAATGCATCTGAAAACATTACATTGTGTTGTCTGGGGCTTCTCATAGAGAGATTTAAACAGGGTGTTAAACAGGAAGAAGTGTGATTAATTTCCAGAAACTGTGTGAAAGTTGTTTCAATGGTCAGTTTGTGTGAGCACAGCTTGCATCATTTGCAAACTATGGCTTGGTCCAAATTGAATTTCATAAGTATGAATATTGGATTAATTTTGGTCCAAGGTTTTGAAAACTAATCTCTTGTTTACTTGATAATACAGTTGTTATTAAAAAGATTAGAAGCATCCTCAATAAAATACAAGAGGCTGAGCTTTCAAGATAGGAATGAGAGATTGGAGAAAGTTTACATGTGGATTTGAGTGACAAGAGTAATAGAAGTTTCAGGGTTTTGTCAGGTCAGAACCCTTTAAGCATGCAGATGCAATAATAAGATAAGCATAAATCATTATGAAATGTATCAATAGTAGTATTGGGTAATGACTAGAAATCTGAAATCTACTTACAGTTCTGCTCATAAGTTTTAACAGCTCTCTGCCCCATCTTCCTTTCTTCATAAAGTTAAACGCATTGTAAATTCAGAGTGAGATTTCCTAACAAAGATTTTTCTGAATGGTGGAAAAAATGGCAACAGTTATCAAACCACATTACCAAACCAACTTCAATTATTATTAAATAGGTGCCATGTTTGTCTTTTGAAAGAACACTCAATTAAATGCATACATTCTCTGACAAAAGAAAGTGTTTTATTAAATTTGAGTTAAGGTTGCCCACGTATTTGGGCCCTACCTAAGAATTAGGGTCAGTGAAATGTCGTATTTTAAAATAAAAAAATTCCAAATCATAGGACATGGAGCTATTAATCTACCACCTTTGAGCAATGTCCTTAGAAACCCACAGTTATACACACTCATCCATAGTCTTAGACAACAAGGTTGATTTGAGAACAAACAGAATGATATCTAACAATTTTTTTCTATCTTTTCAAATATAAAGGTGTGGCTAAATGAACTACAATGGGCTGAAGATATCCCCAACAACTGTAACAGTGGGTAATGACTAGGAAGTAACCCCAAATAGTCAATGTTTAACAATCCTTTTATATATTTCCATAACTTAAGTTGATTTTTCTGCAGGATTTTCACTCTTACAGCACTGAAATATCTATGTCCAGAGATGGCTTGATTTTTTTTTGCATGGATCCTGGATTAAGACACACATACATATCTCTTTCCTTGAATAAAGGCTCAGACCCAAATCTCTTTACGCTGCCAAGCTTCTCCAACTAATCCATTCACCATTCAATATCACTGCACTTAGCACAGTGAATCCAGTTAAAATCCATGTGGATTTTTGCCAGCAAGGGAGGAAGAATACAGTGAATATTTCACTCTCATATTTTAGCAGTCTTTTTTTAGATATTCACAGGTTTAAGTTACATATGCATCAACTCCTTGTTTCCTGTCTTTCAGATATCTGAAAGTCACTGGATTAAACATTCTGCAAAGGAACATGACTGTACTGATATTTTAGATCCTCGTAAAAGACATTTTTATCAGACGTTTGTTATGTACCACACGATTCAAATCCAAACAAACACGATTTTACTGCATGCCAAGGTAAGTTGCCAAGAAATGTTTTACACAGTGTGGAGAAACAGGGAGGGGGGATTATGTAGCTGTTAGGAGCTAACAGCAGCTGTTAGCTGCTGTAAATTCTTGAGGTCATGAAAAATGTTTGTGGAATAGAGCAAAGTAAAAAGAATGCATGGGATTCAGTAAGAAAAATAAGGTAAGGTCAGAAGATATTTTCTTCATTTAAGCCCTGGAGCTGGTATCTGAAGTAGATGCCAGACAAAAAGGGTTTCTCTGTAGTGCTTGCTGCTGGCAGTGATTATAAGAGTCCTGGGACTAAGCAGTAGGAAACAGAGACATTGTGAATACTAGAGCGAACAGGATCAAGAACAGAATCTGCAAGAATTTCAGCAGTTTAGCCCGAAAGTAAAATATAGTTTAATGGATTTCTTTTGAACTCTGGATGTCTGTGGCATTGTTTTGTATAGGAAAAGTGAATAGCTTTGTTCTCTGTTTGTCCTAGAAATCTGGGAGAAAAAAATACTGCCAAGCCACCAGTCACCCAGCAAAAATATGAAAAGTGACTATGATAACTCATCAAGGATCCTGTGGAATCCTTGCGCCTGTGGAAGCAAAACCAGAATAAATGTTAGAGAAAATGCATCACTCATCTCTGGAGCAGCTACACCCATGCAATGACATTGTACAAGAGATGATTACTGATGAGGTGATAAAAGGCAGTAGGAAGCCATGAATAAATATATCCAAGGAAAGTCACAAATACATGATTCATCAAAAAGGAGTATCTTTAGAAACATTTCACTGTTCAAACTGTTATGCAAGGTTTCCTTTAGGAAAAAAATTCTAAGCATGAAATCAAATCAGTCCCTTCTTCCTTTCTCTTAACAAAATAATGGTCTAATTTTACCTTGAAAAGAGAGTCCATAGTAAAAAAAAGAAACCCTAAAAAACTAAAACCAAGATGTTTTCAAAAAAATTACAACTATGAATTTGCTTAAGTTTTCAAACTTTATGATATTATGAAAATGAAATGGCAGATTGCCACACACTTTGGATCGTGAGATAGAAGGTAGGTGTTTTCATGCTGCAGGATAATTACAAATAAATCTTCAGTTTTTACCTACAGGGACAGCTACTGAAATTGCACAACTATAATTAACAATAAGTAATAAATTATAAAGATAAATAGTTGAGAATGGCTCTAGCTGATAAAACTTTTGGCTCTAAGGAGGAGAGAAAGAAAAGGAAAATCAAAGGAGAAAACAAAAACCACAGATGTTTAAACATTAATTTGATTTAAGACAAAACATTCAGAGCTCTAGATCTTTCCCAATAACCTTCTAAATAACATCTTGTCTCAAGAGAGTTTTAGAAGTGCATTGTGGATAATAGTGTGAATCTGAAAAAGTAATAAAATCCACCAATGTCAGAGGTTTTTATACTGCCTTTCTTACTGTAAGACAGAGACTTCATGTGAATACAATATTTCTATATCTGTAGTTAGGGAGGTGATTGTAGAGCTAGATTGGTGTTATGGGTCTTTAACTGTGTGATTGCAATACTGGTGCTACACAGAAAAACTATTACCAACTTCTGGTCACTGTGGGTACTTAGAATTTCTGGATTGTGTAATAATTCCCTATCTAGATAATGCCAAATAACACAGGATGAAGATCGCTGTCTCAGATGAACTCATGAAGTTTGCATCCTCAACAACTTATGTCTTTGAAATAAAGTTTTCATTGTGTTTATCCTTTCTCACATAAACTATCCTACCCATACTATAATTCATTTCTTAGTAGGACATATTCATCCGTATTTAAATAACACCTTTCTCACTCACAAGAAAAGGATGTCAGATTATTCCTGAGATCGTTTTTGTCTTAAAGAATGGCTATTCATCAAATGTACTTTACCAAAAATATAAAAAAAATGAATATTTTTTTTTTGTTCCTAACATTACCTCTCATTTAAATTCTGAGTGAAGCAAAAGCACACTCAGAACAATATGCACCCTCTAAAAACTGAGTTCACAGTATCCATTGCTAATGCGGATGGATACTTCGTGCATATGCTTTGTGTTGCATATTGAGCTTGAAGGTTTATTTGTTTTTTACTTTCTTTAAAACTGAGACAAATCCTTAATGGCATTTTCCAGTGCTGACTATAAAGAATTTTTAGATAACGTGGACATGTTCAAAGTTTCCTATCAGAATAAATAACCTTTGAATTCGTAATTCTTATATTATCTTTAGTTGTCATTCCATTTAGAAAGTTAAGCCAGTGCTTAAGCTTCATTAAAGTATACAACAGATATGACTTACTATAAAGTCATTAACAAATAATTTTCCTAACCATTAGCAAGTATGAGCAGAAAGAAGTGGGTTTTGACATCATACATTTTATGAAACATTTCTGTCACAGGGTCTAAATAATGGAAACTGTTGCTTAAAAATACGCACTTTTTCCCATTAAGATCTTTGTTTATACTGTATCTATATTAAAATAGCACCTAAGGAATAAGAACATAATACAAGAATAAGAACAAAACCAGAACTAACAAAAACCTCTGCACAATTAAACATTTATTGGTTGGAACTTAAAAATCCTTTAACGATGACAACGATTCATGTCAAAGAAAGAGTCCTAAAGGTCTTAAATCGTGGAAGAAAAAGCAAAAACTAAAATTTAGGCACCTACTGAGCTTAGATTACTTTTCACGATTACCCACAGACTAGGAATCTTCAAAATTGAATGTATCATCATGGACAATAGGTTGATAACAGCTGTGAAAATAAAATGGATCATGGCCGTACAGGGATTTGTAAATAATCAAGAGTGCTATAAAGAGAGTTAGTCTCAGCAAACAGAGACTCATTGCTGGCACCTCCAGGGAAAACGTGAATGCTGAGAGAATGTGCAAGTTGCTCCTTTGAAATAGCTTTTCCTTGTGTAGCGGGGGAGTTATTTCTAGAGGTTATCAAAGATTAGGTGATCCATTTGGTCTGGTTGTGTACCATATGTGATCAGAATCAAATGACCAAAATAAAACGGAACCAGCAGTGCATTAAAGAGGAGAATAGAAAGCCCAGCCTATGTGGTGAATCTCATTTATCTGTTTTGAAAAATGATGGCTTTCTTCTGAAAAGCCCTTTCAGGAAATGAAGGACTTGACAAAGTCAGGAATCTATGTTTTAGCACTTACCTAAATTAGAGCAAACTCTTAATCAAGATGTGCTACATCATTATGAAACTGAGCTTGCATACACTGTAGACTGTAGTTCAGTCAGTCTCTTCATATTGAGGAGCTCAGCCTGTTCAGGCAACAGATGTAAAAAAGGCAAAAATCTTCTGGAAATATCATCTTTTCAGTAATCATTCATTCTCTGAGGATTAACTATAATGAATATGAACTGGTCACCCTGCTTTTCAAAGCCATACATAGGTTTTTAAATTGAATATATCTCAGGATGCCCCACTCTTACCCTTACTACCACTCTTACTCTGTTCTCATATATGACAGCAACTATTTCTCCTTTGGGCAAGCAGCTGTAAGGGCAGATAGAAACATGTATACTAATTTGGGCAAATTTTCTGGCTGTTTCCAGCCATTCTAGACTGGTGAGGAGTGCTATTCATTCATAGAATCATGCAATATCCATGGAATACCCACTAGTATCATTAAATGTGGACTCCTGGCCCTGGACAGGACCACCCTAAGAATCATACCACGTCCTGAGAGTGTTGTCCATATTCTTGAACTCTGGCAGCCTTACTGCTGTAACCTCTTCCCTGGGGAGCTTATTTGAGTGCCCAAGCACCCTCTGGGCAAAGAGCCTTTTTCTAATGTCTAACCTAACTGCCCCTCCCATCCCCACCCCTCTACCCAATGCAGCTTCAAGCCATTCTCTTGGGTCCTATCCTGGTCAGCAAAGAGAAGATTAATGGTGTCCAATACATTAGCAGTACCTAATCCTCCTTGCAAGGGATATTAATGGCTACAATGTAAATTAATCTCCAGGGGTCTGCTGAAGCAAATGTGGAATGCCAGAAATGAAAATGCAAGAGAAGATGTCAGAAACAGAAGTGGTAGTGGAAGAAAAGCCAAGACTTTGTCATGAAAATGAAAATAATTAGACAAATAGGATTTATCCAAAATTAAACATTAACATGTAAGACTTTTAGATTCAATATCTCTGTCCACTCAGGACAGCTTACTGCGCTTCTTTTCTCTGCAGCACTCTTCAAGGTAGCTTTACTTGCATTTTAACTAAATCAAAGAAGTAACAGGCATCTTAAACATCTAAGAAAGACCACAATAATTTTATTTATCTTTTAGTGTTTTAAATGACTTTCTTTTTTTCAAAATTCCTTTGAAAGATTCCAGGCATGTCTACTCATTTATTACAGACTGACCATTACTGAAGAAAATGTTTTGAAGATGGTAAAACCGGCCACTCAAAATTTTGATGAATGTCATTTCTGTTTATCTGTTTAACCTTATTTAGATTATATGTGGATTTTGAGATAGTGTTTAATTATAAAATTGCTATCCAGTTTTCTGCTTTCCCAGTAAAAACAGCATGCTGTGCAAAAGCTTCAGTATATACTGATGTAGTGATAAAGCAATAATTTAAATTCCATATTAAGTAAAGGGAGGGAGAAATATGTCTGCAGAAAAGGTCTAGTTTACTGAGGGCGGAGTCTGATACTGTAGATAAGCTTATCTAACTCCTGTTTCCTGATCTTAGACTGCATGTCCCAACTGCATCATGGTGCTGGCTTACGGCATTTTTGTTTGTTTTATTGATTGTTTTTAACCCCAACTGTTCGTGGAATTAATGTGTGAGAAAGATTTTTACATTTATATGGGTTGGATTACTTTTTTCCTGTCCTGCTGTTTTTACCATTAAATAGGGCCTCAAAAACTGCAGAGTTAGCAGCAGACATACATTAGAACTGGGAGTAACACACTGGAAGCTATGAAATCAGTTTTCCTTCTGACACACTTTGAATTATTTTCTTTTTTTTTTTCTTCTTTCTCTCTCAAACACAGAACGAACATTTAGCCTTCACAGAGAAGTGTCCAGTCTTAAACTAGGTATCTACATCCTGTTTCCAGGAGTTAAAGAAAAATAGGAAATAGGAGTAGGAAATAACAGGAAATGTCCAGTGTTTTAGTTCTCTTGGAGTTTAGTTCATCTAAGGAAATAATTATTGATGCTCACATGAGATGAAGCATAGGATGTATGACCTTCATAACAGATTCCAAGATTTCCTGGGTGAATAGGCTCTTCAATTATTTTCTTACAATTGAGCTGTTCTCATTATTCCTGTGGACATAAAAGAGGAAAGAGAAGAGAAAGTCAGACTGTAGTGGTTTATTTGGATACTCAGCTCTGAGTCACATGATTCTAATTCTGCCTATTAAGCATGATAAGCTACTGGAGTGCCAGCTGAGAAGAAGTTCTCACAGAATCACAAAATAAGCTGACTTGGAAGGGACCAACAAGG